AATCCTAACTGGTAATATTACACAATATCATATTTCAATAATAACTGTTTCCAAATCCAGACAACAAAAATGGATAAAAACTCAGATCATACTGGCTATACTTCATTGCACTTACCTGACTTACAAAAAGCAATCTCATCACTGGCAAGTCACACTTTTCGATCATAGGACAACTGCTATTGCGCATCTCCCGTTAACGACTGTTTGGAAACTCCCTCTCGGTGATGATCACTAAGTATTCCCGTTACCTCCCGCTTTGACATCTCTTTACAGATTTACATGAAGAAAATACAAACTAAGTAATGCGTGGTGGTCAGCACACTTTTAAAGCCCTCCTGGGTCAGAGAACGGACACCCACTATTATCAAGACTGTCCGGTATAGCTATGCCAGAGATCTTCATCACCGCACTTCCTAAACGAGTGAAACTGCAGAGCCCCCCCCATCTGCTTCCGAACAGATTCACAATGACTGACGTTTTGAAGATCTTCCTGTGGCATTAGCTTGAACTGAGAATGTGAAATGGGATGAAGCAGATAAAACGAAATAACATATTCTTTCCAGGAAGAGGAATCACATCTTTGGTGACAAGCTGCGGCCAAAGCCAAGAGCACCTGCAACTTACAGCCTGTCACACAGGACAAACTCTCTCTCATTCCGAGATGTGTTGGCCACCACACTATGAAGCAGACTCTTATCAACGCAATGTGATTGCGGCCGACATTTCTACTATTTTACTACACTCCGTAGAACACCCCACACACATAACTAGACATCCACACCTTACACGTTCACATGATTCATATCTAAGTTGCTATCACACTTGCAACACAATTACCACAACAGAGCAAGCCCCTGTCAATGGGTTAAATAACAGAAAACTGCACCACCTCTCCAGAGGCACACAAAATTTACACGCTGCATTCAGTCCTCTTCTCCATGTACGCACTCAGCAACAGGACGGCCAACCATCGGGGACACAAGCGGTCTTCTCTCGGATGTCAGTCTGTCTAGTGTTGGTGCACTCCTCCTGCAATATTCCAGGAAAGGTGTAAGATACACAAGAAATCTAGAATCTCAAGGGGCCACTTTCACAGACATTGGAGGCAAAGTCGTCTGAAATGGAACAATCTCATGCCAACTTATTTTATCTAATGGGTGCCTCCTGCTTATTCAAATATTTAATCTGAAATGGGGGCGGGGGGGAATGCCGTTCATAGACATACAGGGGATTAGACACGTAAGAACAAACATCCAACATGCAGTCAGCCTCTGTCAGAGCATTACCGTTGCTTGGCAGAAAAAGTATTCCTCTTCCAACTTGGTACATATTCCGAATATTCATCCAGTTAATATTCTTTGTGATATGAAGTCAGAAGACAGTGTCCTACTTCTTGTACTGGTGCCTCTTATGAACAGACAGACACACACACTCACTCACTCACATCCAGTTATTGTAGCTCTATACATACGCTGCACTTTGTGAGCCAATTAATATGCTCTCTCTTTGAGAAATGTTGGTCCAACGCCCTATCTCGTGTCAGGGGCACAACACAGAGGTTTTACTCGCCCGTAACAGGTCATCTAACTGCGGCCAATATCGTTCTGGTTCTTCACCCCAGCCATGTCAAACAGAACACCCAGAGGGAACTGAAGCAGGTAACTTCATGATGACGGCATGGCCGGTGTCCTAGAACATTAATGAAAATACATACTTCAGTACCCCAACACAGAGCAAGCGAGCGGACATCACGGCGCACGGAACGACAACCATCAACACTGCACAATGCATACGCCCGAAAACGTGAGTACAGAAGGGATGTGGACTGCCTGCAGGAATATGCCGGGGCACCAACAATGTCGGCGTGAACAACTCTGTAAGCTCCCGAGGAGAGCATTCCACCCTAGGGAATGTTGTGAATGTGCATGTACCTACGTACAGAGGCAAAAGGAGAGGTTACGGTGATGAGAAATTAATCGCGGAAGTTGAAACAAACAATTTCCTTGGCTTACAAGTTGACAACACCTCAGATTGGAAGAAGCACACTGAGTATATTATTCCCTAATTAAGCTCTGCGTGCCTTGCCATCAGAACAGTCATACCACCCATGACAATAGATGCTATAAAGCTAGTTTACTTTGCTTATTTCCACTCTGTGGTGTCTTATGGATTAATATTTTGGGGGAATTCAACAGACAGTAATAAGGCTTTTTACATGCAAAAGAAAATAATCACAACGATGGCAGTTGTCAAAAGCAGCTTACCTTGTAGAGAATTATTTCGTAAATTTAATACACTTCCACTTGCAAGTGAATTTATACTCTGCTTGCTATCATTTGTGGTGGAAAAGTTGGATAATTTTAAAAGAAATACAGATGTACATAATTTAATTACAAGATGTAAACCCTGCTAAATGTCAAAGAGGAGTGTACTTTACACGTGTCAAGTTATTTAATAATCACCAACCAACAATTAAAACTCTAAATTGTGATATAAATGTATTCAAGCCTGCACTGAAATTAGCTTTCATACTTGAATTGCAAAATCTGAAGGTTATGTACATTCATATGTGAAACACGTTCTTGTAATTGTGTCAAAAGTACCGAGGTTTACGTATATTGAATGAAGTCCTGAAGTCTATGTTTACTGTATGAAATGACTTGCTCTGCATCCTTTGGATTACTCCTAAGAAGGATCTATGGAATGCAAACAAACTCTACTCTCTAACATACCTGAATAATGCAATTCCTTATCCAAGTAACAAACACTCCAGGTGCTTCGTTCTGTCTCGTTCTTCACATCTCCAACTCCAAAAAAGCTGCTTCCCCATCACGCACACAACTGATCTTCTGAAACACTGATATTCAGACAAATTGGTCCTCCATGTCTTCGTTGATGCCAGTAAACACACACTACAGCTACAGTTCACATGAAAGTTGCTACTCAGCACATCCCCTGATCTCACACTCCTCTTTGAGACAGACTAGGCACTCCCACTAAATCTATAACAGTACACCTCCTCGGAAAGCAAGGTAATCGCACGAGGGCCTGAGGTCTTCCTTGTGGCATTGTGAGGCATGCTACGAACACCCCATACTTGGTCACTAGGAATCAAAAGTGGGCAACTGTGGTGTGGTGTGGTGTGGTGGCCACATAACCAACATTACAACCTGTAACCCTAGCTGCTTACTTCTAGCTTCTTCACTGCGATAAGCTCTTGCACAAATTTAAATCAACAGCTACTGAATTTCCACATGCAAGTCACAAAAACAGAGGCTGCCACCACGAGTCTGTGGGTCATCCCAACCGCATCGACTGATGAATTGTGTCCATCACGCACAATGGTCATGTCAGCTACCCGAGCAAAGTCTTGCTACCTCCGTAGTAATGATGGATTCGAAACTGCATAACGGCTGAAGTATCCCATATGCTTGCATTCACGCCTACCTGAAACAAAACCATGTACAGAAATAAACATCCGCATTGAGAGACCAGTATTAATTCTTACTACGAAGGCACTCTACACCACATTAATAACCTACTGGCAACTAATCCGGCCTTTCGTGCAACCAAAATATTTCCCACTTTACGTACTTCACACAGGAGAAAGATGACAAACATCAGTTCAAATAAACTTGCAAGCCCTGGCAATATAAGAGAGTAAATCTGCACTCGACTGGGCATGCATCCTACCATCACGCCGTCCGAAGGAAACAATAACAGCAGAGGAGCTGCGCCATTTTCTCGCACGCAGGGACGGCAACGTCTGAAAAACAGCGAACACATCCCGCCACCGGCGGAGCTTGAGGGATATTCAATGATCAATATGTGCGCACCCTGACGAACTGTCCTGTCATCTACCGACAATACACCTGAGGTACATGCCCGTCCGCGAACACTACACGGCACTGCCGAACCAAATGCTGACTGAAATACCACTCCAAAGACTGTAAAATTATGAAGACCTGAAACTTTATTCCGTGAATACCATTAGTTTCACATCTTCTCCTTTAAAAATGACAGGAATTAAAGAAAAAAATTAAGGCGAAACGAGCTACCAACTTCGCCTATAAGAAACCAACTACCAATCACTTCCATAACCTCAAAAATCATAAAGTAATTTATGGATCCAACCACACCCAATAAACTACAGCTCAATCAACTTAGCACGAAGCACTATGAAACAAGTAGCCCACAATTTGCATCTACATCGCCTACATCCTAGGGCACATTTGTCACATAACCTCTCGGTCGCCGGAATGTTACTGCACAGAGCAACCTTCGACACCCTGCTCAGATTGATACCAGACACAACTCTTGAATACCTGCACGTCTACCTATAAATCACCCAGTGAAATCGTCCACGTCCTTTCCAACACGAACTTATCCTCGTCACATTTCATGTTGGCACTCAAGACATCACGCAAATTCAGCACCGACATTCTCCCTGCGCGATAATTTCTCACAAGTAATTGTGGGATTTCGTAAACTACAGCTCAATGAACGAAGCACTATAAACGATTATTGCATATGTCGCCATTACACAGCCCCTCTGCCACCAGGTTGTACTTCACGAGCATCTATAACACACCCAACGACCCAGCCCACTGGTGACCGTACTTCAACAACACCAACTTCCCTTCGTCAGACTTCATTTTGGCACATGCAGCAATCAACACTTAATACACTACCAACAAAATTAATGCCGGCAATATTCGCTGAAAACCACTTGCAGAAAATCACACAGAATCCATAAAACTCATTGCACTTACCTGACTTTCAAAAAGCAATCTCATCACTGGCAAGTCACACTTTTCGATCATAGGACAACTGCTATTGCGCATCTCCCGTTAACGACTGTTTGGAAACTCCCTCTCGGTGATGATCACTAAGTATTCCCGTTACCTCCCGCTTTGACATCTCTTTACAGATTTACATGAAGAAAATACAAACTAAGTAATGCGTGGTCAGCACACTTTTAAAGCCCTCCTGGGTCAGAGAACGGACACCCACTATTATCAAGACTGTCCGGTATAGCTATGCCAGAGATCTTCATCACCGCACTTCCTAAACGAGTGAAACTGCAGAGCCCCCCCCATCTGCTTCCGAACAGATTCACAATGACTGACGTTTTGAAGATCTTCCTGTGGCATTAGCTTGAACTGAGAATGTGAAATGGGATGAAGCAGATAAAAGGAAATAACACATTCTTTCCAGGAAGAGGAATCACATCTTTGGTGACAAGCTGCGGCCAAAGCCAAGAGCACCTGCAACTTACAGCCTGTCACACATGACAAACTCTCTCTCATTCCGAGATGTGTTGGCCACCACACTATGAAGCAGACTCTTATCAACGCAATGTGATTGCGGCCGACATTTCTACTATTTTACTACACTCCGTAGAACACCCCACACACATAACTAGACATCCACACCTTACACGTTCACATGATTCATATCTAAGTTGCTATCACACTTGCAACACAATTACCACAACAGAGCAAGCCCCTGTCAATGGGTTAAATAACAGAAAACTGCACCACCTCTCCAGAGGCACACAAAATTTACATGCTGCATTCAGTCCTCTTCTCCATGTATGCACTCAGCAACAGGACGGCCAACCATCGGGGACACAAGCGGTCTTCTCTCGGATGTCAGTCTGTCTAGTGTTGGTGCACTCCTCCTGTAATATACCAGGAAAGGTGTAAGATACACAAGAAATCTAGAATCTCAAGGGGCCACTTTCACAGACATTGGAGGCAAAGTCGTCTGAAATGGCACAATCTCATGCCAACTTATTTTTCTAATGGGTGCCTCCTGCTTATTCAAATATTTAATCTGAAATGGGGGTGGGGGGTGAATGCTGTTCATAGACTTACCGGGGATTAGACACGTAAGATCAAACATCCAACATGCGGTCAGCCTCTGTCAGAGCATTACCGTTGCTTGACAGAAGAAGTATTCCTCTTCCAACTTGGTACATATTCCGAATATTCATCCAGATATTATTTTTTTTTATATGAAGTTGGTGTCCTTAATGCACTAGTTTCGGACATTAATGACGGGGAATCTTTCCCCAAAGGGTACAAATGTTAGTCCTTATTCTTTGTTTACTACGCCAACAAGTTGGTAACTTGTAAAGTGATTTATTGACAATGGAGTTTCATATCTGTACTCACTGCTTCTATGGCAAGCAGTACGCAGGTCAGATGACACACAGCATGCAGCTCAGTAGAATCTGAAGGATCACTCTATTTCCGCTACTCCTAAAAAGTGAAAATACATTCACATTCAACAAAACAAGATACCTCCATACATGCATCACACTCCTCTAAGAACACACAGTTTTACTTCACCACACAGATAACACTTCTATCTTAGCCAATGAACAAGCACCTTCCATTTTCACAAGGCAAATTTTGTCATGATCACTACAAACCCATTCACAAGTTATCACTTTAAATATGGGTCACGACTGTGACACAACCAGCCACCTGACAAAAATTAAACTCCCTCTCTTACAGATTCATATTACAACCTTTCTCTTCTTCCCCACCACCCCCCTAAAAAAATAGCCGTATGGGCTGACATTATTCCACACCACTTCATAATACTGTCACTAAAAACTCTACATCTCCTTCCCACACACACATCACATCAGTCCCATGCAACTTCGGTTGTCACTGATTTGTTACTGCTACATATTTTAGTTTTGCTGAGCATTAAAGCCTTTCTTTTTTCCACAAATATGGTGATATTCAAAATCTGATCACCAGGAAATACAACAACCAAGTTAAATATGGCACTGTAATGATGAACAGTGACACATATTCTTGGACAGACTTAACTCTATCACATGACAAGCACATCTAATACATCATATTGCTCGTGTACTTACACAGTGCACATCAAGTTGAGACAGATAAATCTGTAGCAGACAGGAGTGCCCTTCGTGATCACAGCCAAGTTTCTGTTGCGATATGAAGTGAGCCTGCCAAGTGTACTGAACATACTCCACTGATTTCCTGGCAAGCAGCAGGCTGGTCAGGTGACAGACAGCTTTCCCCTCAGTTGAATCCCAAGGATCAATTAAGCTTCTTCTCCTCAGCTATTCCCAGAAAGACAAAATGCATTCACTTTTAACTATCAAGTTTCCCCACCCAAACAGCATTCTGATGACGCAGTTGATTGAATATGCACTTTTGTTCTCGGGGCACACCATACATGCAGCATTGCTAAACAAGCATTAATTCACGTTCAAAGGTAAACATATTGAAATTATTCGAGTAACTGTACAAGGCACCAAACCCGCAAATAATAAACACTTCTGAGTATATAAATGTCACTTATCAATGCCTCGTGGCGTTCATTTAATCATTCCTCGACAATCATCGACACATAACCTCAACCTACAAATGAGAACACCCCATAATTTCCAGTCTCTTATTCCGTAACCTAATAACAGCCCACCAATATCACTGTTCGCACACAGAAACTTACAGCAATGATTCTTGCATTATGGCATTTTAAGAGACTGAATATTTGCCATTATGAACTGAAATAAATGTAGCACGCAAACATCTCCCAAGGCGAAACACTAACAACTCGCTACACACAACCTACATACTCCAGTCATACCACACCTCCAAAGACTAGATTCACGCAACAAATCTTACCAACTGCTATCTTCCTTTTTCTCTCTCTGTCTGCGAACTTGGCCA